TGCATTTTTTTCAATGGATTTAATCCAACTTTATGCATAAATAAATGCATTAACAATTTAAGAAAATAAACTAACTCTATAATTATCTAGCACTCTACCATCAACACTAAAAGCAAATTCCGAGACAATTTTAATTATAGGTATTTATAAAATATTTCAAGTCATATTAGAAAATCGAGGATATTTTACAATATTCATCTTCCAACAGCCAAACACATCAAACTCTCACTCGCGCACACAAATAATCCCTCCTTTAGATATACTTGTAAATCAGGCTTGGATAGTTACATAAATCCAGAAACTACCACAAAATTTTTAAATCCAAACAATCAATCAAAATGATAAAGGAAAATCATAAGATCAACTGCAAATGAAGATATCTCATTTGAAACATTACTTGTACGACTAGGAGATATGCAATCAATAACATAGTTTTGCATATATTTCGCATAAAATATTTTAAGTTGGTTTAAGATTATGATCAACCACATCATACGACAGTATCTTCGAAAATGTAAAAATAATAAATTTGAGTTCCATTCTAGAATCTAAAATTGCTATAATAAACATTAGAATATTGTATTCCCCATAATATTTGTTGAAATTAATTTACATATTGAAAGTCATACTTCTCACATAATCATCTTCTGACATTGACTCATCTATCAGAATCTTCTTAACAAATATAACTACAGGAAAAAATTTATATGAAGTAGGATAGAGAGTAACAGAGATTATTTTCATAACAGTATTCAAAATTGAAAAAAAAAAATCTAATTTTCTCATATTTCAACCAATTTGAGTTATATGACAATCATTTAGAGTTACTATGGAAAACATTACGATAAATAACTATTTCCAACATGTTTGAAGTTTAGTTTCACTTGAGAAACATCAATAAACAAAGACCTTGTAGTTGGAACTCATACTTGTTTAGCCACTTCGATAAATTTATGTAATATCACAGAAGATTTTTTTAAATACTTCACTGACTGTCAACTATTCTAAATAATTTATCGAACCTCGTTTAGCCTGTTTTGGATTATTATTTTGAGAATATATCTACAATATTTCACATAAAAAAAACCAACGAAAGAACAGTTTTCCCATGAAAGAAAATTTATTTTTAATTATTTAGTTGCTATATCCTTACTACTTGCATTATCCAAAGTAAATGTAGAAACTTTGTATTGAAGCTTCCACTCCAACAAACATTTACAAATAGCATCACACATGTAAATATTGGTATGTGAAGGCTTTACCTCAGTAAAATTGATAATTATTTTACTTAACTTCCAAGTTTCATCGATATAATGAACAATTAAGCACATATATCCTATAATTTAATTAGAGATCCAACAATCTGCAGTTAGTGACATCCTATGAAAATTTTTAAGACAATGTTTAAGTTTTTTTTTTCACACACATAGAATTTCATGCAATCAATTTCTATGGTGTACTTTGAAAGTCTTAATTTAAAGTTTAGATTCAATATATTCAATAATATATTGAAAGAAACATGTTCAGCTATCATAAATGAACATTTATCTACAATTATCATCTTGATAATTGTCTCTCTTGTGAGTTGTTAATCATAATTTTTATCATAAAATATAGGAAACTCTGAGTCAATATAAATGTCAAAAGAAAAGAATTTCAACAACTTATTTTTTATTTAATAAGTCAATAAGTGGTTGACTATTTGTTTTTTTCTTATCACAATCTTAAATGTGTCAAAAAAACTGTGAACGTTCGTCTATTTTTTATTTTTGGATTTTTACCTAACAACAAATGCATTGGACAAAAGAAACTTCGACCCCTTGGAATTTGATTTAACATCCACAAAGTACTCTCATACAATTGATATTCTCTTCATATCTTTCTTAGCTTGTATGATAATACTAGTACTTCCATCAACTACTTCAACAGATTGAGAAAATTTATGAGAACTACCATTTCCATCTTGTATAACGACCGATAATTATTCACTAGCTATGAATATTTGAAATTATTCAAATGTTGAAATTGCAAATAACCAAACATAAAAAAAAATACTATATGATATGTCATTTCTACATGCGCCTAAGCTTCACATGAGAACATATAAACTTATACAATGTTAAGTTTCACATATAGCTAAACACAATAAAAATGTCTTCCCATTTCTGAAAAAAATTAAAAGAAATTTATGCCAATGTAAACTATGATAGATCCACAAAATTCACCAACATGACATCATCTATATGCATATATGTTAATATGTTATATGTATTATATATACCTCCTAAGTCTAAAATAGACCAAAGAAAACAATCACAAATGAACAATGATGATAAAATTTATATAAATGTAAATTATGATAAAACATCTCAAGAAGACATTCACCAACATGACCATCTATATGTATATATTTGAATATGTTATATGTATTATGTATGCCTCCAACTAAAATAGACCAGAGAAAATAATCAAGACATGAGCACTTATGACATGCATATAAAATTGAACGGATTTGAGCCGAAATACACCCAAACTGATCAAATATAATATCACCCAAACTGAAATTCAATAAATGCATAACTGAACTAATCATCTCAAATGAAACAGATCCACCAACAAAAGTGAACCGATTTGACTTCTAAGTGCAAATGAAACATATCAAGTACCTAAAACATAACAAAAAAATTGTGATACACAACATTATCGTCATAAACAAAACTAAAGCATATTGAGCTCAAGTTTATATAAGAAACTGAAAATGATGCAACAAATTAAAGAACCAAACTGAAACAAATATTCATAAAATAGAATATCACTATCATAAACCCAAATCTTCCTATAGCCGGTATACCGAAATACCAAACCCTAACCAAAGAACAAATGAATCACACTCAACATCCGCGCCCCAAATGGAGATAAAATCTTCTCAAATAATAAAAACGAAAGACAAGAGAGGGACTAGCCAAGCAACTGTCATAAGAACAACTACATGAGAGGAGAGATTCCAATTTCAGATAGAAAAAAACTCACATAAGTGAGTCACGACTCACAAGCCACAAACGAAAGAGAATAAGACGACTACTCCCTTATGGGTGAAAGAGACGAAAAAACTCACGCCATCAGCAACAAAGCAAAAATTGTAACTTGAAGAATGAGAGTCTTTCACTTGCAACTTCTCCCAAGAGCCAACTCAAAATGAAAATGCGGTACAGGGCAATTTGTGAAATAGGATATAGTCGAAAGGAATGAAAATTATTAAGAGGAATTGTAAATTAGAATTAGGAATTTTAATGAAAATATTTATTTTTAAAATTTTTTAGTTTACATTTTTTCTTAAATTTTTTTACTTAAGATTTTTCCTAAATTAATAAATTTATAATTATTTTTATTATATACTTTTAATTTTTTATATATAATAATTTTAAATTAACTTTTGTAGTTTGAAAAATAATGAGCCAAAGATGATCGAATACAGTTTTGTTTGTGTTCGACTTGTTTATAAACCGAGCACCAAAAAATTATTCGTGTTCGACTCGTTTGCATATCAAACGAACTGAACAATAGCTCCCTAGCAAGCCGAACACGAGCTGTTCGTGAACAACGAGCTTTTTTGACAACTCTATTACCATACATTAATATAGACATAATTGTATCTTCTGTTTCAATGGAGCCACATCAGTCATCAGTATATTTGTACTTCATCATATTCAATTTGTAAAGTGGTGAGTCTTTTATCATTACCAATCACTAAGAGGTCTGCTTTTTAAGTTCATTATTTTGAGCAAGAGCTTATAAAAATAAGTTAGATAATTGCAAGAAATAATGACACATTATACTGCAAACTAACATAAAAAATGATGTGAAAAGAAAATCATTTGAACTTATTATTGCAAAAATAATCAAAATTTCGTCTATTACAAAATAAAGTTTAATGTCTTTAAGTGTAAAAAATAACTTTGTGCAGATCATTTGACCTAGTGATTGGGTGCTTTGCCTCTAATCACAAAATCTTGAGTTTAAAATCAATCTATCAAATATGAGTGTGCGCACGAGTTAAAAATATAATGAAAAAATGTAGAAAATAACTCAGGTGAAGATTATACAGCGGTTAATAAGAGAATTTGAACATAGCACTTTGGTTACCCACTTATAAATCTCATTAGGTAAGGTAATTTGCTAGACTAGAATTGAGATGATGTTAGTCGATTAACAAATTATGCAGATTCAAAAAAGTAATGAACTTTTCCAAACATCAACCATGATTACACCATATCAAAGTAGGGCCGAACATCAACAAACTCTAACTTTCATGCATTTAGATCGAAGAAAAGTAATTATATACGTCAAAGTTGGCTTCCAAATACTAGATTTAAATGTGCCAAACAACCAATGAATCAATGAAAAAAGAAAACAAGTATGAAAAGAAAGAGTTTCGTATCATTAATAGACAAATTTGGCCAAAGGCAGGTAAATATGGAGGGTTTGTTTGGGATGGATTCAAACGTTCATAAAAATAGTGGTAGAATTGATTTATAGAAAGTAATTTTTTTGAAAACTGTTGTGAGTATTATAAACTTTTCCTTTAATATTGATTGGACAACAACTTTCTTACAACCACTACACTCAAGTAGATTTGATTGTAAAGAGTTCTGACAAAAAAATTTCTAAAAAACAACAACGAAATTATAGCCCAATTGAATTATGGCAACTTTCAGGAAAGCAGAGCTGAAACAAGCCAGAAGAGAAACTTTTGAGTAGACATGAGCAGATTTTAAACCTAAAATACAAGCCAGAAGATAAGAATTCAACCAAACAATCAAAAGATATAGCAAATAGAGATGTTTCAGCCAACTGAAATAGTATATGTGCAACTCGACCTTACAAATGATTCCTATGTAGCCAAATAATTAAAAAATTTGTAGTAAACAAAAATTAAAAGAAATTTCACCACACTTTAACTAAAACAAACATGAAATATATCTCCATTTAGCATCAGTTACCTCTTCTCAAGGAATGTCTTTGCATTTGAAACATTTTTACCCATAGCAGAAGCTTTCCATGAAAAGTATGATCCAGAAGGATCAACCTGCAAAAATTAAAAAAAAATGTAAAAAAGCCCTTGAAATTAATCAGATTTCAATGGTGTTCGTCAATGCATGCAATTAAATGTAACAATAGAATGGAGATACTGAAAAGAAGCTACACATTCATACAAAAAAAAATTACAAAATAAATTTAAAAAATATGGAGGATAATTTATAAAACGAAGCCAATTAATAAAGTAAATTAGTATTAGAAGCTGGATAAAAATTAATTTAAAAGGGGGTAAAAATGTGGATCAACATTTTACATTACACAATAAATTTTTTATATAAAACGTGGATATAACTAACATTTTGTTAAAAAAATATTTTAATTAAATGTTTTTTTATGATTTTATTGTAAATTATTTTTTAAGTTAAAAAATTCAATTTATAAAATTATGTACATTAAGGAAAAAAAATAGGATTAAATTATATAGTAATTAATGAAAATAAAATATTAAAAAGTTATATTAGTCAATGATTTTATTTTTTAAAAAAAATTATTTAATGATCTTATAAAAAATTATTTATTAAGTAAAAAACTAAATTTATAAAATGATGTAAATTAAGAAGAAATTAGGATTAAATCATATAGTTATTACAGTTGTAATGGTTAATAATTTATATTTAGAATAAATATTTTTAATTAAATGATTATTTAATGATTTTATAAAAATATATTTAAATTTCAAAATTAAATTTATAAATTTAAGTGAATTAAGAAAAATAAGAATTAAATTATTTAATTATTAATGAAATTAATTTAAATTGTCCAATAAATTTATTACTTAAAAATTTAAGTTTTCTAAATTAAATGTTTTGAAATAATTTCAAAGTACAATAAAATAACAACAAATACAAAATAATAAAAGTTTTAATTTTTAATAATTCAAATTTATCTTTTTCAGCGTTGTCAAAAAGCACTTGATCCAAGAGTATCTATTGATGGTGCTCGAAGTGGTCATTCTCGTACGTGATGTTTCTCTTCGTCTTCTTCTATCTCCTCCCCAATTGATACAACAACAAAAATCTCTTATCGCATAACTATTCTTCAACTATGGCGCAAGTTGACTTACAAATTAAAGGTCCTCCGAAATCTGATCTCATATGAAACTATAAATCAAAGTGACCACCGTCAAAAGTAATATGCTATGAAGCATGAGACTTAACCTCATATGATGTCGAAGGTCCCGCATATGTTGAGGGACTATGATAAGCATGCTCATATGATGCATCAACGGTGGATCTCTGCATAGTGCTTGCAAAAGATTTTTTCGGAGCATCTCGTACCACTCTTCTTAGAATGTTAGCCAGAGAACGTTTCGCAATATTAGAAGTTGATCTTCGGGAAGCACGCTATTGGTTGGTCAAACGTGTTATAATCAATATAACGATTGATCTACTCTGCTAGAAAACTTTGTGATTTCAACGCAACCTTGTTGCATATGACTAATATTTTCACCATGCCCACCTGCAAATCTCCTAACAATGTCATTTGATAGTATAAAGTAGTTCACCTGTATAAGTTCATAACTCATTATATCAAGATGAAGTAAGAGAAAAAACAAAAACTGAATATAAAATTATATGCACACTATTAATCACTCTCTACGTGATCTAGAATAATAAATATTTAGTGGTTGACTAAACGACCTTATCAGGTAGATTGACGTCTAGGATTCAAACCACTGCAAATAATATGTCAGTTCTACACTTTCATCTCTTAAAGGTGAGTTCAATGGTACTATAAGGATCCAATGATTATTCCATAACTGAATGTAATTTTGTAAAAAATGCATCTAATCTTTATTTGGTTTCCCTCACTATTAGTCCTCCCAAATGATCGATCTATAGGTTGAATCAATATGAATTGTATAATCAAACTGTCACATTACTCGATCTGGAAGATGTCACTCAACATGCTTCCAACTAATAAAAGGAACAAGAGTTGAGCATATGTTTATACTTAACAAAAATCTTAGGCAACCACACCATAATAACGTCAAAATATGATGTCTAAATAAAATGTATGTCAGATCTTATGATTTCTTATAAAAAATATAAATAATATATAAGAAGGTAGAGATAATTAATATAAGAAAATGTATTTGGCTCTTCATTAATCCGCAAATCTCGTCTGTATACATTTATAATTTTTTTTTCTAGGCACTTCTCGTAATCTATCATCATTCCATCTTAATACTATAAAGAATATTATTACGACAATTTAAAGTATATATTTAAAACTTATTACTTTACATACAGTTTACCTGAATTTCAATGGCTTAGGAAATAAATCACTAAGAATAAGAATATGAAGAGTCAGTCTGCCCACATTGAAATGCTCCCAACACCACACTTGTAGTAGGTACAAACATAATATTATATTAACACGAGTATATTGTATAGATAGATTTAGCTCTTTAAGTAAATGTGCTGGTACAAAGCATCCCAGTAAATAATATGTAAATACAACTAAATCTTCAAGTAATGATAAATACTATAAATGTATATGACGTTGATGTATATCTAGAAGCAAAAAAAAAACCTAACATTTATAAAATGTATTCACTAACATGTCTTAAAAAAATGCTGTAGGGTAAATCCTCATAAAAATTTGTAAAAAATCCATTTAAACCAATGAAAAGATACAATAATATGAGATTGAGAGTGACTCATTTGAAAGATTGTCACAACATCTTTAAGTTGATGAACTTTCATATGCTTAATAAATCATCGCAACAAGCTAGCCAACTAGACCAGCGCAACTCGCGACCAACAATTATAGGGTCAAATAGGACATCACCATCTACCTTAATGCTAAAAAATAATTTATACATCATATAGTGTGATAATCATCTCGTCTATAAAATAAAAATATTTACTTATTATATGATTAACTATAAATATTAACAATATGTATAGTTTAATATATACTCATCTTATCAACAGGTAGACAAAAAAAATTAGTTAGAGAAAATCATCACTATATCATTACAGTTATAAAATAATGGTCCAGCCTGATAAACTGTATTAAGTCGAACAAAATTAAGGTTTGCAATTTATAATACTTGAATAAATTGTGAGTACTGGACTGAACACTAACTTGCTTTCCTTGCATGACTAATATTCTCAAGCATCGTTCACTATAAAACATTTATAAAATTATGATATCACTATATTACATTTCAATTTTACTGAAAAATTATATGTACATCGCATAATTGGGATTTGATACTCTATGAGATTTTCCTAAAAAGACTACGCCCGAAGGTGCTTCTGCTAGTGATGGGTTAACTTCTTAGATTGAACTACGTCTAGTACGACGAAGATCTCCCATACCTACAGTCTTGACTATCTCAATATAATAATGAGAAGAAATCATAAATAATAGTTTATCTGAAATACATGTTTGAAATTATGTTATTGGGGCACGTCATACTATTGTGATCATTATTCCTACAAATACTACATACACGTGTACTTATTAATCTAATCTCGCCCATTGCATTTTTAATTCTGATAGTTTTTTGATCTACCACATCTTATAAATAGATGAGAAGGTAAAGATATGATACATGTTAATCGTTATATGGTGGTCATACGTTTCTCGGGTATCACATGAAATAGTGACTCGAAAGTTTGTCTACAACATTATATCATGAAATATTCGAGATTGAAATTGTATGATTTAATTTCTAACCTACAAAGATGTTGTTGAATGCACGCATAAATATGATATATTTGTGACTTTTTACAAGTTCACAAACGCTCTTCTTGTGAGATAATATCAACCCGAAATATCGTGCATCTTTAGGCCTTGGATCAGGAGGTCTCAGGCACGAATCTCACTAAAGCCTTCAGGTGCAATTGTGACCAGTGTCAAATATATACCCTCATCATGTACTAAAGACTATTTTATAATATCCTGCTCTACTGACCAATTAAATACATTTTAATATTCTTTATTTTAATCACATGACTGTTGAACGTATATTCTTCATTAGTGTTTCCTGTCCAATATATTTTATCGCAAACAATATCAACCTCAAAAATAAAGAGACGACACACTACCTTTTTAAATTCTCTCGTAGATGCCACAAATAATGCATAATGCAGCCCGAGAAAAATCTCATTAAATACTCAAAATAGGCTTGGATGTCTATCTGATATTATGCAAATGTTTTCATGTGTTCAAATTATCTTAACTAATTCATATAGTTATTGTAGAAATCATAATCCCGACTCATTATTTTCAGACGTAACAACTATAGATGAGAAAAGGAAGAGACGTCATTTCCATCAATACCAATGGCAATTAGAATTCTATTTTCTTAGAATAATTGTCTCATTAATATTAACCTGGGTGACAAATTATTCATCCATATATGCTTGAGTCGTATGCCCAAAAAATTCTATAAAAGTGTGTTGTTACTAACTCGTATCTCGGAGATGGAACCAGATATCATTATGCATATAGATTCCACCAAACGAAAGAATGAACAATGACTCTTAATAACTCCCAAATATAAATTTTATTCTCTTTCATGCATCCTAAGTTTTAAAGTAGTATATAATACGGATGTTAAATCAAGATTCCATTCATACAATGTTTTGATTTCAAGTGGAGTTATTATTGTAAAATTGGATGTTAAATCAAGATTCCATTCATACAATAATATGTTTTGATTTCAAGTGGAGTTATTATTGTAAAATAACCATATATAGTGACAAATAAATCTTTACGTACAATTTCAATGCATGCTCAACATAATTGAACGTAGATGTATGTGGTGATCCAACTAAGGAAATATTTCACACACCTTTTAAGCGACTACTTTTTGAAACATATAAGCATAATGACAATGGTGTGTTGAGTAATCGTTTTACACATATTGTACAGTTGATTTTCTTATTTAATGAATTCTTTTGATACTCAATATTTTTATTAATAAAACAAATATTTAATGCACATTGTAGTTGCTCTTTACTAAAAAAATAT